GACGACATCTGAGCCTCTATAAGGTGCATCTATACGGTGCTGACATATGCATGAGTTTGTGACTCAGTTGGTTTAGGTGAAATACCACAGGCTATATCCTGCAAGTGAGTTCATTTACCAACTCAATATAACACTTCTCCCCTGATACAGTATTGGTAGCATTTCTGAAGACAATTTGCTATAAATCTAATCCAGAATATTGAAACGAGTGTTTGATCTAATGGGTAGAGAATGGAGTTCTTTAAAAATCTTTAAAAACAAAACATTTTAGAGACTAATAATCAATAAGATAAAAATAGGATGCCTCGTGCTGGTCTGCAGCCATGTGGCTTTACATGTGTAACTCAAACTTGAAGTAAACAATATTTTCATGCCGCACACGTGCTCTTTAAACATGTTTAAAGACACACAGATATCTATTTAGAATAAACCAGAGAAAAATGAAACCCTTAAAAACCAGTGTTAAATTTAGGACTTGTCACTGTTTGACCAGGGCTGTGGCCTGCAGACATTCCAGCAGAAAAAAAAGCAAAACAAAAAAAAAAAAAAAAAAAAAAACAAACAAACAAGCTGGTTATTGGACTATTGCAGCAAAGGTTTGGTAAATATTGCTCCCGGTTCTGTTTGCATTAACATGTTTCTGATAAGTCCTGACATTCACGAGAGCCTTCATCATTCACGGTCTGTGCCTCCAAGTAGAACAAGTCATGCGTTTAGTTTGCATGAGCTTCACTGAACACTCAATGTGAATCTATTTCTATTTCTCCTAATGAATGTGAAGTGACCTAGAATGACCGGCCAAACGGTTTATTTACCGATCAGGGATTTTATCCTTCACTAGTTAACACTGAGCTACAGATTTGTTCTTCATTGCTTTTTTATTGACTAACTACAATATTATAGCTTACTATGCTATTATAGCTTGTTTTTGCAATCCTATTTTATTTTCATACTATGTCTTAAGTTTTCTCAAACAACATAAACAAACCTGTTTATATTTTAACATCCATGTTTTCACCAGCAAATATGCCCCCCAGAGGGCACAGAGCTCTCATACAACTCCATGTGGTTGTTGCCTCTGAGTCCTACATCCAGACTTCACACCCTCCGCTGACAGAAAGTCAGCACAGACAACCAGCACTCTGATTGGCTGAAGCTCAGTCAGCAGACATCAGAAGATGAAGGGGGTTGGTCGTGTGTCAGTACCCAGAGTATGGACAGCTCCCACACACTGATCCCATGCTGCCTCACTAACTGTGGCTTACACACGTGCATACCCACAAATATACATTTGACTTACCAGTAGAAATCATTAAAGAAACCACTCATTAAATTTTACTTGTTTTCTACAGACTTTATAAGAAGTGTCACTGGATGTAGAGCAGTAAAATAATCCATTTATTTTTAACCACTTCAGATGTTTTTCCTGTATCTCAATTTTCACTTTTAGTTTAATCATTGGGTAACCATGGGTAAGTATTTTTTGGGGCTGACTTTGAGCTTAATTTTTCGAATCTTTGTTAGATTAGTAACATCTTTAAATAACTTGTTATCCCCATCATTACTCGGCCAGACCTTTTAGATATTAATATTAATTTCTAGGTAAACTTTGTGGCCATAACATCTTCAGTTTATAATCTTATCCCACTTTTGAATGTGGCGTGTCATTGATAAAACACATGCATGTTCAAAATGGAATACCAGACCAGGTCAAAAATCAATAAAGCAGTTGCTTGTTGATGTTTCCTACAGAAGCCTAGGTGGACATAATGGACACAAATATTCAAGGTATCAATAAAATTCCCCTTATAAGAATTTCAAGGACAATGTGAAATATTTGAAGGACATTTTGCCCCCGAGCATCTTCTAGTAATATCCAAATAACTGTAATGTGTAAAAAAAAAAAAAAAAAAATCAGTTTACACATCATCTTCTTGACTGCACAGTAGCCTGTAGTGTTTCAGGGGAATTAACAAGATAAAATCGGTTTCTGTGAAGGTTAAAAGCCTACAGGGCTGACATCACTCTGAGCTGGCTGATTTAATAACCTCCGGTACCGGTGGCTCTCCAACATGGATGAGGCATCTGGAACCATCAGTGACATTTCCTGCCGTAGTATCGCGGTACTTGTATCAGTGGGGAGTAAATCTCTGGAAATCAAGGGCAGATCAACACCCTTACCATCCTAGAAAGCGCACTGTGGTCCAGTGGTTTCACTCTGCGTGCAATGTAGTGGCGCACACACGCGGTTAGCGGCCTGTGTGCATGGATTTGGGTCATTTTATGAGCTGCAATTTGCGGATACTCTCGGAGACTCTGATGTGACAGCAGGAGATGAGATTTAACCTCAGAAATGACAGATGCGTGTACGTCAGTGCAGCACCCCTGGCCTCTGGGTTACGCACGCGTAAAGCCTTACCAGTTCTCCTGCATCCATCGGATGGCTTCGTCCTCGTTGAACTGTCTCTCGAATTCATATTCTTGCAGAGCCAGGACCGACATGTTCACGCTGGACTGTGATCACGCTGCAAAATCTGGACGTAGCCCGGAGATCAAGTGTGGTTTGGTTGGATTTTTACTGTTCTTCTTGTGCGCAGCCTCCACCTCGCATTGCTCACTGGTGTCAGGAGCCCGCTGTAGAGCGAGTGCAGTAGCTTTTTTAGTGAAGAAGTCTTCTTCCTCTACACCGGCTTCACCAGCCTACGCCCTCTTCCTCAGAACCAGCAGATCTGGGTCCTAGCGCTGGACTTGTTCGCTCTTAGACACAAAACGATGTCATTTTGGTCATTTCTCCATCGCCCGATAGGGGCGCCCTATTACACAAACTGCTTTCTCCAAAGCAGACCTCCACCTCACCAGGTTTTCCATCCACCTGCTCCCTACTCTCAACATGTCATCTGTAAACATCTTGGTCCATTGAGCCTCCAGTCTGACCTCATCCGTCAACCTGTCCATCAACATAGCATTTACACCTTGTAAATGAATGAAAATGAGCCATTGTGAAGTGCACGGTGTCATTGAATTAAACAGAAGCACCAGGAAAATAAATAGCTTCACACTTACCACTGGAATAACCCTTTATTTATCTAAGTTTTCTTTTAGTTTCAAAATGTCACATTTCCATACCAAGTCAACTCACTTCAACACTGGTATCATGTTAGCAGTTTACGTGAAAATAAAAATCCTAAGTATGGAGTTTTCAGGTTTTCTCCAGGTTCTCCAGATTCCTGCACTTTCCAGATTAGGATGTGTGCATACGTGTTCATTTGGTTGCACAATCTAATGCTGTTTCACAATTCTTTCAAAGTCTGCTTCGCTGTTTCATTCCATTTCCTCATCCAGACAAAGAATAAACAGGTGGCACAAAGTCATGATCTGACTAATGTTTGACATGACATGAACTCCAAGGTAGGTTTTAAGGAGTGACACTGGGATTATCTGAGCTCCACAGTACAGAAATACAAGAGACGTAGTAGAATAGTTAGTATGAAATATACTTATAAGAAGCCAAAAAACAATAATGAAGATAATAACAATGAACTAATAAGAACAATAGATTATTAGTTTACCCTTTATTACATATGAAAGTAATACTGTAGTATTATTGAATTTAAAGTATCGGTACTGTAGATGTGCAACTCAAAATCATTTCCCCCACCTGATGCTGCAAATATAATTGGTTTTAGACATTTATAAAGTTTGTGATAATTTATAAAAATAGTGCAACAAAGAAATAAATTATATTAAATTATTTTATTTACATTAAACACTACCAAAATTACCTCTATTTTTTTGCCCAAATTCTCTTCTGGATTTTTAACCTGCAATCAAAGTTGTACATCACATTTTGAACGTAATCACTTTAAGGTCCTAAGAATGTATGTGTGTGTGCATCAGATTTATCTATATGTTAACTCAGAAAGTGTCAGTATCAGTATAGACAATATTGACCGTGTATTTACTTGCTATCGGACTCATACTGAATCGTGCAGTATCGCATACCTATACAAAGAAACCTGTCTGTGCTAATGACAGTTCCTGGTGTGGTTGGTGAAACCACATTTAAATCAGAGAGGAGTGTCGGGGAACCCAGAGAGTTAGACTGAAGGCTTTAACTGTTGTTGTTCTAACCAAAGCTTACTTTGCTTCATACATGATCATTTTTTCTGCTGTCAATTTGAACAGTCAGGTACTTGTGTTTTAATAGGATATATAATATAATGAATGAGCATTAAGTTAGTTGTATCTATCTATCTATCTGTCTAATCGTCTATCTATCTATCTATATATCTGTCTAATCTCTGCAAAAATCCCCAAATAATACTCTCTATTCAAATGACCAGATTGGTTACTGGTTGAAAATGAGAGAGAACATGCAGTGTGACATGAAATGTTTCACTGTTTTTTTTTTTTGTTGGTGCCTCTGCACATGTAACACCTGATTCTATCTTCAGCCTAATCTCTGTTATTTCCGTACTTGTCATCTACTGGGTGTAGTTCAACACATTTCTTCAGAATGTCTGATTATTTTTTGCTCTCTTGTCTGACTCATGTTATATTTTAGGCAATGGCTGGAGATAAAGATGATGATGCTGAGACGGATGGTAATAGTAATGATGATGAACCCAGGATTAATTCAGCGTCCTTGTGTGTAATGTTGGTGATGCTTGTGCTTGTAAGGACACATGCAGTGTTGATTTGGACAGTTAATTGAGTCTCAGTCTTTTGAGCCATTGGAACTGTTTACATTTTAGTTTATTTATAGTCAATTTTGCAAAGAAAAAATAGATTGATTTTTTCATTCTCATTGAGTCGCACATAACTTCCTCTTCAGTTTTTGCTTAGTTTCTATTTTAGTAAAGAAGGTTGAGTAACTCTTTGGGGAAAATTACAAGTTGAAAAAATGTCAAACATCATCATCTCTATAAACCTGAGCTCCAACCACTAAGACGTTTCTCCCTTTTCTCCCTGGTTGTCTTTATTATTATGTTTTCTTAAACATCTGTTCTTTTGGATTTCATCATTGCAGTGTTAGTCTCCTATGGTTCTCCCAGGACTGGAAGTGTTTGTACAACAGCATCATGTGTGATTTTCATCATAACAGTTTGTTCGTCTGCACAGAAGACACCTGAAAGACACCTGAAAGACGTCAGGTATTCAGAACCAGGTGTTGCAACATGCTTTCTTTTGATTTCACTTCACTGATTTACTGGTTATTGTAAGCTTTCACTTTAGATCACAGAGACAACATCCCAATGCACTTACTGTGATCTCACTACATCAAAACCACCATGACTGTAAAAAGATATTATCATCAACTACTGAATTGTTAACAAGGATAAGGATCAGTAGTTACCATAACTATACAGGTATGTTCCTTGTCCTTCTGCTGGTTTGGTAAACTCATCCTGTCCTACACGCATAACCCATTTGTCTTGTATTTATTTTAATTTTTTTTTTCGAAAATAACTAGTAAATAGTCTAACGAAAACACTAGAATTGCAGTCCAAATGCTTCAGGTTTAACACTTTAATAACGAACTACTGTACTGCCATCTGGTGGTTTACGGGTGAATGTCAACCTTGTTTTACAGCCCGAGCACCCAGATGTGACCTAAATACATTTGATTCAAAGTGAGAGGTTTATATGTCATGTTGTTGACATTATATGTAAGTCACTCTGTAATATCTGTAGCAGCAACAGCAGCACTGTCACTGCCAACAAAACGGAGCGTGTTTTATGTGATGTATTATTTTAAACAGATACGGAGGCAGCAGCTGCAGTCACAGACATCTGATGTGGAACACTGAGAATGTGACCTATTGGTTTAGAGCAGATAAGAACAATTTCCCCTTGACCTTTCCACTCCATTACCCGACATGATTCCTCATAGAGTGGACCGTATTGTAGGCGACACTGCTGCTGAAGTCATGTCCCAGACACACCGAGACATTCTGTGTNATCTATTTTATTTATATTTATCAAACATACGGTCAAACAAGAGTGATAAAAACCAGCTTTATAGTTTTTAAATTATACCCTGGCCATTTGCTGCCAGCTACTACATAGCTATAGCCTTGTTTTTTTTAACTTATTAACTTTTTTAACTTATTAACTTATTTTTTTTAAACTTTTTTTATACTTATATATACAAAAAAGAAATAGATGGGTTTTTTTTCGAATTACAGTACAAGCAATACGAAGTTCTATTTAAAATTAAATTATGGGGCGCCCTCTGCTGGACGATTAGGCCTTTATAATACGTTTGTAAAGGAGACGATATTTTTGTCGATGGCGCGATGACTGTAATTAGGGTAAAATACGAAAAAATAAAATAAATATAAAGATGCATTGTTGTAATGTCTGCAATGATGAATGGCTGATGACGTCACATACAAGTATTGCAGTTAAACTTCTTTATTCTAATTGTATCATTTTGAATGTATTAATTATAGCTCAGCATATTCTGGGGGGAACATTTTACTTCCTTTGTGTTATAAACAACTATAAGAGAAGCTAAAACAAAGACAGATAATATATAAGTTGAGAAAACTACCAAAATGAATTGATTTTTTTTCTTCTTTTGATTAGTGTTATCAGCATTTTCATCAGTTCTGGTTGAACAAGTAGTTTATTAATATATGAAAATAAGTTTTCCTGGGCAACTGCTCTTGCTAGCTTTAAAAAACGATACTAATTAAAACAAATCTGAAAAAAAGAGTAATTTTCATGTTATTTGTTGTTTTTTTTTAACCTACAGACCCATAAGCTATTTTGTTATAACGATGAGCATGGTTATCAGGATGTTAAAGCCACAACATCTGAAAAAAATAAAAATAAAAAAATAAATAGCATCATTATATAGCAGTAGACCACTTCAATTTTACCTGACATTAGCAATCGCCCAAACCAAGACAACAGCCTGCATGTCTAAACAAGTACAGATCATTTCTGACACCCACAGAGAAGTAAACCTTCAGCCCTGGTCTACAAGATGCTGCTGCTCTTATCATTAATCTCTGCGCCTGTGGTTGGTAGCAACAGCATCATTAATGACAGTATGAGGTGACACCCTCCACCAGGATTTACCTCACGGTGCAGATTTAGATCTATATTATTGGGAATGATCCCTGTTGTATTATTAAACGATTAATAATATCGCATTAAACAATTCTGTGTGTGTGTGTTTTTTTTAAATAAAAGTGACGAAGCAGAGCCTTTGAAACATGCCACAGCCCCAGACTTTTGTGCCACCTGTTGGTTATCGCGAGGAACTAACCCACAAACTACATCTGCAGTTTATGAAGGGAAAATTCCTACCCTATGTAAACAAAATGTATTTAAATATATATAAATAATGGTAATAAAAAGGATCCATTTTACTATCACTATGATAAGTCATTGGTCATGTTTGACTTAAATATTTGGAATCATAACATGCACAAAACACAAAAAAACACACAATCACAAAGAAAATAATTTCGTTTTACATCCCCCCATAATTTTACATATTGACACAGATATTGTTGTTGTTATGTTTTCGAAATGTCAGCTAATCCCAGTGGACTGTCAAATCAAACTCAGGTTTTGTCCATGTGCCTTCAACATCCAACTTGATCATAGTCAAGCCGTAGTAGTTCAACTACAACAGCACAATCGTGATGAGGGAAGATCTTTCTCATTGTTGTAGTTTCCTGTTGTAGGGGACGGTGCATCCCTTCAAATGATCCTACAAGATTCAGGGCCAGTGTGGACCAGTACCACAGCCCTGCATTAATATCCATCACTTCGGAGCAGTGGTTAAAGAAGCAAACTTGGGTCTGGAAGGCTTCAGGTTCAAGTCCACTAGCTGCCAAGTTACCACTGAGGTGCTCTGAGCATGGCACCGTCCCCACACACTGCTCCCCGGGTGTGTAAAGCTGCCACCCATCTAACCCATCACTGTTCACTTTGGTGATGGGTTAAAAACAGAGGTCACATTTGGTTGTGTGCCC